CGTTGGTGTGCGTCTGCGCAGCATCGGTTGATTAGCGTCTTGCGTGCTGTGGATAGTCTAAGTTCAGTCCAAGATGAGAGGGTACATCACAAAAGGGGTCTTGTGTCTAGCGTGAAAATCCAGCCCTCCCAAAGAAGCCAATTAATTCACGGTGCGCATCAAAAGGGTCTTAATTCTTTAGACACCTTTTGTGCTGTCCCTTCTCATTTGCATATTTCAAAAAGTCAATACAAGCCAACGGCGTTTGATGCTTGTGCAAAAACACAAATAAAATAGGGAAACCAATACAAAATAACCGTTTATTCAGTGGTACCTCTTAGGGGTGAAATTTCAGCACTGCCACGCCCATCATCTCACAATACAGGACCCTTTTTTAGGGGTCATTTTCAGAATTTCCAACYTATTGTAATGGACTGTCTCATGTAGAGATATTATTCACTAGGCAGGGTTCAGGAAGTGCATGTAGAAGTATGTATGGTGGTTTTGTAGCTTGGTTGAAAGGAGAGAGTGATGATGGTCATGATAGTATAGCAAAACAAGTAAGTCAATTAATGATTTGTTTCCATCTTAATTTCTTTTCAGTCATTCTTTTATCTTTCTATTTTCTTTCCCTGTTCGACAAATATCCTTTTTACATGAAGGTGGAATCGGTTGAAATCCTGCATTGGTCGACAACGATGAGGCATTAAACCTAAGGCCTCTGCTAGGATCATAGACCTTTTCTGAAATACAGAATTACRGTGAATTGTGGTCTAGCTTCAAAACAAAATTTGTTTGCTAGTACAAATCTTGACCACAATGCAAAGCATACTGATATCTCAGAAAAGGTCATTTATATCTGATAAAKGCCATCCTCATTAGTATTATTCTTTATATGAGGAATACTAATTATTTATACAGATGTTTGATATAAAGGTTAATGCATGTGATCAAATAGGCTTAATCCAATTGGCCTATAACTCATTAATCATGTGCAAGTTTTAGAAAATACATGTAAATCCAATTATTACATATCAGTCAAAGTAAATATTTACTGATTTATATGTAGATAAGATCTGATGAGCATTGGAAATCATTGAGAATTCTTGTTCTTGTGGTAAGGTGAAGTACATATCGTTTACTATCCTAATGAAAGCTCCAATTAATATTAGTTGTCTTTTTTTTGGAATCCATTGAGGTAAATGACCAGAAAAAGTCTACACCAAGCACAGTAGGTATGAAGAGAAGTGTTGAAACAAGTGATCTTTTACAGGTATATATACKCAGGGCACTAATATTGTTAATAGAGTGGCTTTTTCACCCTAAAGTAAGCATAATATAAACAAATTAATAAATATCTTAAGAAACAAATTTTCATGTAATAATTGCTCTTGATTCCAACCTGAAATCTTTACCATGTTTTGTAATCRCATTTGGTATAACAGCACAACAATGGGTTTTTATCCCCCTAAACAGTATTACAACCCCCCCCCCCCCCCCTCCATAAAAATTAAAATCTGACGTCCCAGTATTTTCATTATTTTCCTTAGTTTATTTTACTTTGTGTGGCCTGGTTTAAATGCAAATCTAGTACTATTTACCCTATACATATCAAGTATTTAATATTACCTTGTTTGCTGCAGTTRAGAGCAAAACATTGTGTAGATCAAAGAATGAATGTTATGGAGCAAGCAATTCTAGACAAAGACTTTGAGACTTTTGCTGAGCTAACAATGAAGGTATTCAATGGTAATCACTGATGAAATAGTGATMTTTCATAGAAAGCATCAGTCATTTTCTTTTCTTTTTTCTTTCTTTACTTTTTTTGTTTTATTTTGTTGTGCAAATATGAGAGGTGGCGAATGGTGAATTCAAGATTTTGCAAGACAGCAAGATAAGCATTTTTCCCTGCAAGGCTGAGACCATAGTTAGTAACTATGCTGAGACTACTTGATTTTTTAAATAGCCAAAAGAAGACAAGACCCTGGGACTTAAAAAAACCAGCTTGCAAGACCTTTGAAATTCAACATAAATATTGCGAGTCCTGGAATTGTTGAAAGACCATTTGCAAACCCTCGTATGAAGCAACCAAATATTAAATAAATGCAACTGTGTGTTAGGTGCTGCAGTAAATGTCTTGCTTTGATAATTTTTATTGTAGGAAAGCAATCAACTCCATGCAGTTTGTCAAGATACATATCCACCTATAGAACCCCCATACATAAACAGTATATCACATAGCATCATACAGCTAGTGACAGCCTTCAATCAGCATTATGGCACCAACAAGGTAACAACAATCATATTAATTATACAACCCCATAAAAAAATTTTTCCTTGCCGGGGGAGGGATGGGAAATTTTAGCTACTGTACAAACCCAAAACTTTTTCCTTTTGTAAATTCAATGGTTGTATGCCTGTTGATTATTGTAGACTTACTTTCATAGACATAAATACTGATTATTGCTACCTATTTGACTATGATAAATAAGTTCTATTTGACACATGTTTAGGTAGCATATACTTTCGATGCTGGACCAAATGCAGTCTTGTTTCTTCAAGAAAACAATGTTGCCAGCTTTCTTTCCTGGGTTAACTGGGCTTTTCCTCCAGACGATCCACACAGGTAAATAAATAAGCTTTTTCCTCACAAATGCCATATGTATTTTCACTTAACAGTTCTCATTCGTTTTCAGCTTTATCAAAGGGATCCCAATCTCACCAATTCCAGATTTGTCAACTGTGAGTAGTCTTGAAGGAAATATTGTGAAAGAAAGAAAATTTTTGATGAAATATTTCTTATTTAGAATTTGATAGAATCTATTGGGTTGAATCCTCTTCCATGTTCCATTAAATACATCATTAGTACAAAGGTAATACATGTTACTTGAATTATTAAAAGCATTTGTTTTGCACATTTAAGTTTAGTCAATGTTTTGTTTTGTTGTTAAGGTTGGCTGTGGCCCTAGTCTTATAAAAGATGATASAATACACTTACTCAATGAAGATGGTTCACTTATTTCCTGAATTCCCATGATAAGCACTGCGGTGATGAATGGAATTGGACCCAGTAAGCTTTTCATAGTCATTTGTAATTGCTTTAGGTCATTAATAGTTCATGAGCTATAAAAAGGSTTTGTCTATTCAGTCATGTGATGAACCTTTCCCTTGCAGTGGTTATCACATGATGTTATAAGCACGG